CCAGGTGTGCCCAGGTGTGCCCAGGTGTATCCCAGGTGTGCCCAGGTGTGTTTACCTGCTCAGCCACCTCCCTGACGGACTGCACGCTGGTGCCGTACAGGTGGCTGTTGTACTGCCCCGCCCAGGTGTATCCCAGGTGTATCCCAGGTGTATCCCAGCAGTACCCAGGTGTGCCCAGGTGTGCTCTCACCTGCTCAGCCACCTCGCGCACCGATTGGACGCTGGTGCCGTACAGGTGGCTGTTGTACTGCCCCACCCAGGTGTGCCCAGGTGTGCCCAGGTGTGCCCAGGTGTATCCCAGCAGTACCCAGGTGTATCTCAGGTGTGCCCTCACCTGCTCAGCCACCTCGCGCACGGACTGCACGCTGGTGCCGTACAGGTGGCTGTTGTACTGCCCCCAGGTGTGCCCAGGTGTGCCCAGGTGTATCCCAGGTGTGCCCAGGTGTGTTTACCTGCTCAGCCACCTCTCTGACGGACTGCACGCTGGTGCCGTACAGGTGGCTGTTGTACTGCCCCGCCTCGATGAACTTGTGGCCCTGGATGTCCTTCTCCATGCGCTCCCGCGAGGCCACGAAGTGATAATCGCGGCCATCGACCTCGTACTCGCGCTTGGGCTGCGTCGTGTCTGCAGGTGACTCAGGTGAGACACACCTGAGACAGGTGAGACACACCTGGGACAGGTAACGGGTGTGAAATGGGGGATAAATGTGGGATAAAAGGGGCCCAGGTGTGCCCAGGTGTATCCCAGCAGTACCCAGGTGTATCTCAGGTGTGCCCTCACCTGCTCAGCCACCTCGCGCACGGACTGCACGCTGGTGCCGTACAGGTGGCTGTTGTACTGCCCCGCCCAGGTGTCCCCAGGTGTGCCCAGGTGTATCCCAGGTGTATCCCAGGTGTATCCAGGTGTGCTCTCACCTGCTCAGCCACCTCTCTGACGGACTGCACGCTGGTGCCGTACAGGTGGCTGTTGTACTGCCCCGCCTCGATGAACTTGTGGCCCTGGATGTCCTTCTCCATGCGCTCCCGCGAGGCCACGAAGTGATAATCGCGGCCATCGACCTCGTACTCGCGCTTGGGCCGCGTCGTGTCTGCAGGTGAGACAGGTGACACAGGTGAGACACACCTGGGACACACCTGGGACAGGTGAGACACACCTGAGACAGGTAACGGGTGTTAAATGTGGGATAAAAGGGGCCCAGGTGTGATAATCGCGGCCGTCCACCTCGTACTCGCGCTTGGGCCGCGTCGTGTCTGCAGGTGATGGGACAGGTAACGGGTGTGAAATGGGGGATAAATGTGGGATAAAAGGGGCCCAGGTGTGCCCAGGTGTGTTCCTGATGCCTCCAGGTGTGCCCAGGTGTATCTCAGGTGCCCCCCGTTGTATCTCAGGTGTGCCAGGCACGTTCCTGATGCCCCAGGTGTGCCAGGTGTGCCCAGGTGTGCCCAGATGTATCTCAGGTGACTCACGGGGCACGCAGGACCCAAATTTCTTGGGGAACTCGGACAGGAAGTCACTGTGTGTGCCCTCAGGTGCCCCCAGGTGTGCCCAGGTGTGTTCCTGATGCCCCCAGGTGTGCCCACGTGTGCCCAGGTGTGTATCTCAGGTGTGCCCAGGTGTGCCAGGTGACTCACGGGGCACGCAGGACCCAAATTTCTTGGGGAACTCGGACAGGAAGTCACTGTGTGTGCCCTCAGGTGCCCCCAGGTGTGCCCAGGTGTGTTCCTGATGCCCCCAGGTGTGCCCAGGTGACTCACGGGGCACGCAGGACCCAAATTTCTTGGGGAACTCGGACAGGAAGTCACTGTGTGTGCCCTCAGGTGCCCCCAGGTGTGCCCAGGTGTGTTCCTGATGCCCCCAGGTGTGCCCACGTGTGCCCAGGTGTGTATCTCAGGTGTGCCCAGGTGTGCCAGGTGACTCACGGGGCACGCAGGACCCAAATTTCTTGGGGAACTCGGACAGGAAGTCACTGTGTGTGCCCTCAGGTGCCCCCAGGTGTGCCCAGGTGTGTTCCTGATGCCCCCAGGTGTGCCAATTTGGGGGGGTTTTTGGGGAATTTTTGGGCGATTTTTTGGGGGGATTTTGGGGGGGATTTGTGGAAATTTTGGGGGGATTTTTTGGGGCAGTTTGTGGAAATTTGGGGGATTTTTGGGAGGCAATTTTTAGAGGAATTTTCAGGAAATTTTTGGGATTTTGGGTGGAATTTTGGGGATTTTTGGGGCAATTTTGGGCCCCACCTTGAGTCCCCGGCCCCCGATCTTTGGCCTTGAGCCGCGTCCACTCCCGGCGCTCCACCCTGCAACCAGTAAGGACCAGTTTGGACCAGTGAGGACCAGTCTGGACCAGTCTGGACCAGCTTGGACCAGTGAGGACCAGTCAGGACCAGTTTGGACCAGTCTGGACCAGTCTGGACCAGTAAGGACCAGTAAGGACCAGTGAGGACCAGTCTGGACCAGTAAGGACCAGTGAGGACCAGTTTGGACCAGTTTGGACCAGTCAGGACTAGTCAGGACCAGTAAGGACCAGTCTGGACCAGCTTGGGTGGCTCCCAGTCAGTGTGGACCAGTCTGGACCAGTTTGGACCAGTTTGGGCCAGTCCCCTCCCAGTAGCCACCAGTAAGGCTCCGGTGACTCCCAGTACAAACCAGTACAAACCAGTGCCACTGAACCCTGTTGGAACACCCCAGTATTGGCTCCCAGTACAAACCAGTACAAACCAGTACCAGTAAGGACCAGTCTGGACCAGCTTGGACCAGTAAGGACCAGTGAGGACCAGTTTGGACCAGTTTGGACCAGTCAGGACTAGTCAGGACCAGTAAGGACCAGTCTGGACCAGTCTGGACCAGTGAGGACCAGTAAGGACCAGTTTGGACCAGTCCCCTCCCAGTAGCCACCAGTAAGGTTCCAGTTCCTTCCTAGTGGGTCCCAGTTAATCCCAGTTACACCAGTAAGGCTCCGGTGACTCCCAGTACAAACCAGTACAAACCAGTGCCACTGAACCCTGTTGGAACACCCCAGTATTGGCTCCCAGTACAAACCAGTACAAACCAGTGGCTCCCAGTCCCTCCCAGTGCCAATGGAGCCCATTGGAACCACTCCAAATCCACTCCCAGTACAAACCAGTAAGGTGGCATTGTCACCTTTGTCACCTCCCTGGGGTCACCCTCAGTGTCCCCCAGGACATCCCAGTATGAACCAGTTCATCCCAGTTCATCCCAGTACATCCCAGTACATCCCAGAACTCCCGGTGTCCTTTAATGTCCCCATTCCCTCCCCACGTCCTTGGCCTTGTCGTAGTCAAACAGGGCCCTGGTGGCATTGTCACCTTTGACACCTTTTTCACCTTTGTCACCTCCCCAGGGCCACCTGGGTCACTCTCAGTGTCCCCCAGTTCATCCCAGTCCATCCCAGTTCATCCCAGTACAGCCCAGAGCTCACAGTGTCCCCATTCCCTCTCAGTGTCCCCATTCCCTCCCCACGTCCTTGGCCTTGCCGTGGTCAAACAGGGCCCTGGTGGCATTGTCACCTTTGTCACCTTTGTCACCTCCCCGGGGTCACCCTCAGTGTCCCCCAGCCCATCCCAGTATGAACCAGTTCATCCCAGTATGAACCAGTACAGCCCAATGCTCGCAGTTCTCTCTCAGTGTCCCTGTTCCCTCCCCACGTCCTTGGCCTTGCCATGGTCAAACAGGGCCCTGGTGGCATTGTCACCTTTGTCACCTCCCCGGGGTCACCCTCAGTGTCCCCCAGTCCATCCCAGTTCATCCCAGTATGAATCAGTACAGCCCAGAGCTCTCAGTGTCCTTTAATGTCCCCGTTCCCTCCCCACGTCCTTGGCCTTGTCACACCCTGGGTGCTATTGTCACCTGTGTCACCTGTGTCACCTGTGTCACCTTTGTCACCTCCCCTGGGTCACCCTCAGTGCCCCCCAGTTCATCCCAGTTCATCCCAGTTCATCCCAGTGTCCCTCAACGTCCCCAAAATCCCAGAATTGTCCCAAAATTTCCAAACTCCCCCAAATGTCCCCAAGTGTCCCCAAATCCCCCAGATGTCCCCAAATGTCCCCGAGATCCCAAACCTGAAAAACACCTCCAAAAATGGCCAAAAAAATAATTAAAAAATCACAAAAAAAATCACCAAAAATTCACAAAAATTCGCAAAAATTCACAAAAAATCCAAAAAAATCCCCAAAAAATCCCAAAAATGTCCAAAAACACCAAATCCCCCAAATCCCCCGGCTGTCCCCAAGATCCCAAATCTGAAAAATCCCCCAAAAATCCCTCCAAAAATCACCAAAAATCCACCAAAAAATCACAAAAATTCACCAAAAAAATTCACAAAAATTCACAAAAAATCCCAAAAAAACCCCAAAAAACCCGAACTCCCCCAAATCCCTCAGGCGTCCCGATGTCCCCAGGTGTCCCCAAGTGTCCCCAATGTCCCCACCGGACGTAGAAGCCGCGTTTGGGGTCGCTGCGCAGGGAGGCGCTGCCGGAGCCCAGAGATCCCAAATATCCCAAAAAACCCCAAAAACCCCGAACTCCCCCAAATCCCTCAGGCGTCCCGATGTCCCCAGGTGTCCCCAAGTGTCCCCAATGTCCCCACCGGACGTAGAAGCCGCGTTTGGGGTCGCTGCGCAGGGAGGCGCTGCCGGAGCCCAGAGATCCCAAATATCCCAAAAAACCCCAAAAATCAAAAAAAATCCCAAAAATGTCCAAAAACCCCAAAAGCCCCAAATCCCCCAGATGTCCCCGATGTCCCCAAGATCCCAAATCTGAAAAATCCCTCCAAAAATCCCTCAAAAAATCATCAAAAATCCACAAAAAAATCACAAAAATTCACAAAAAATTCTCAAAAATTCACAAAAAATCCCAAAAAACCCCCAAAACCCCAAACTCCCCCAAATCCCCCGGATGTCTCCGATGTCCCCAAGTGTCCCCAAGATCCCAAATCTGAAAAATCCCTGAAAAAATCCCTCCAAAAATCACCAAAAATTCACCAAAAAAATCGCAAAAATTCGCAAAAATTCACAAAAATTCACAAAAAATCCCAAAAAAACCCCAAAAACCCCAAACTCCCCCAAATCCCTCAGGTGTCCCCGATGTCCCCAGGTGTCCCCAGGTGTCCCCGATGTCCCCACCGGACGTAGAAGCCCCGTTTGGGGTCGCTGCGCAGGGAGGCGCTGCCGGAGCCGAGGCTGCTGCTCAGGAGCTGCTCCCGCAGGTCGTGGATCTTGGCCTCGAAGCGCCCGTACTCTGAGGGGGGATTTGGGGTGAATTCCCAGGATTTTGGGAAAATCACAAATTTTGGGATCGTTGGGGTATCCAGGACATTGAGGGGACTTGGGAAAATTGGGAATTTTGGGGATTTTTTGGGTGTTTTTGGGGATTTTTGGGGATATTTGGGGGATCTTGGCCCCAAAGCGCCCGTACTCTGAGGGGGGATTTGGGGTGAATTCCCAGGATTTTGGGAAAATCACAAATTTTGGGATCGTTGGGGTATCCAGGACATTGAGGGGACTTGGGAAAATTGGGAATTTTGGGGATTTTTTGGGTGTTTTTGGGGATTTTTGGGGATATTTGGGGGATCTTGGCCTCGAAGCGCCCGTGCTCTGAGGGGGGATTTGGGGTGAATTCCCGGGATTTTGGGAGAATCGGGAATTACGGAATATTTGGGATAAAGGAGGGGATTTTGGGGACCCTTGGGGACATTTGGGGACAGCGCTGTCACCTTCGGGCCGGTACTGGGCCACGATGGTCACTGGGGACACCCTGGGGACACCCTGGGGACACCTGGGGACATTGGGGACCCTTGGGACACCCTTGGGGACATTCCCAGGGGTTTGGTGACCCTTAGGGACATTTGGGGACACTTGGGGACAGCGGTGTCACCTTCGGGCCGGTACTGGGCCACAATGGTCACTGGGGACACCCTGGGGACACCTGGGGACATTGGGGACCCTTGGGACACCCTTGGGGACATTCCCAGGGGTTTGGTGACCCTTAGGGACATTTGGGGACACTTGGGGACAGCGGTGTCACCTTCGGGCCGGTACTGGGCCACGATGGTCACTGGGGACACCCTGGGGACACCCCTGGGGACACTCCCAGGGGGCTGGTGGCCCTTGGGGACCCTTGGGGACCCTTGGGGACACTTGGGGACACAGGGGACAGCGGTGTCACCTTCGGGCCGGTACTGGGCCACGATGGTCACTGGGGACACCCTGGGGACACCCTGGGGACACTCCCAGGGGGTTGAAAAATGGGAAAAATTGGGAAAAATGGGGGGAAAACCGGGGGAAAAGGAGATTTGGGGAGATTTGGGGACATTTAGGGACACCTGAGATAGGTGGGGAAATGTGGTGGCACTTGGGGACAACGATGGTACGGGGGAAACAGGGAAAAATGGGGAAAAATGGGAAAAAATTGGGGAAAATGGGGGAAAAATGGGAAAAATTGGGAAAAATGGGGGGAAAACCGGGGGAAAAGGAGATTTGGGGAGATTTGGGGACATTTAGGGACACCTGGGACAGGTGGGGGCACGCGGTGGCACTTGGGGACAACGTGGATACGGGGGAAATGGGGGAAAAATGGGAAAAAATGGGAAAAATGGGAAAAAAATGGGAAAAATGGCAACATTGGGGGGAAATGGGAGAAAAATTGGGGGGAAAAGGACATTAGAGGACATTTAGGGACACCTGGGACAGGTGGGGACACGCGGTGGCACTTGGGGACAACGTGGATACGGGGGAAATGGGGGAAAAATGGGAAAAAAATGGGAAAAATGGCAACATTGGGGGAAAATGGGAGAAAAATTGGGGGGAAAAGGACATTTGGGGACATTTAGGGACACCTGGGACATGTGGGACATGCAGTGGCACTTGGGGACAACGATGGTATGGGGAAAATGGGCAAAAATGGGGAAATCTGGGGACACCAGAGATGATCTGGGACCCCTTCCAACTGTGAGGATGATGATGGTGGCAACCAAAAAAACCCCCAAAAAACGCCCAAAAAACGCCCAAACCGTCCCGCGGCGCCTGCCCCGCCAGTGTCCCCGGGTGTCCCCAAGTGCCACCAAGGGGTTGTGACACCCTGGGGACAATCTGGGCACTTTGAGAGCGCCTTCTCATGGTGAGGATGATGATGGTAGCAGCCAAAAATCCCCAAAAAGTCCCAAAAAAATCCAAAAACCCCCAAAAAACCCAAAAAACACCCAAACCGCCCCGCTCCACCACCCCCGCCGGTGTCCCCAAGGGTGTCACCAAGGGGTTGTGACACCCAGGGGACAATCTGAGCACCTTGAGGACACAAATGGGGAAAAATGAGGGGAAAATTTGGGGAAAATGGGGGAAAAAAGGAGATTTGGGGACATTTAGGGACACCTGAGATAGGTGGGGAAATGTGGTGGCACTTGGGGACAACGATGGTACGGGGGAAACAGGGAAAAATGGGGAAAAATGGGAAAAAATTGGGGAAAAATGGGGGAAAAATGGGGGAAATTGGGGAAAAATGGGAAAAAATGGGGGGAAAAGGAGATTTGGGGACATTTAGGGACACCTGGGACAGCTGGGGACACGCCGCGGTGGCACTTGGGGACAACGTGGATACGGGGGAAATGGGGGAAAAATGGGAAAAAATGGGAAAAATGGGAAAAAAATGGGAAAAATGGCAACATTGGGGGAAAATGGGAGAAAAATTGGGGGGAAAAGGACATTTGGGGACATTTAGGGACACCTGGGACAGGTGGGGACACGCGGTGGCACTTGGGGACAACGTGGATACGGGGGAAATGGGGGAAAAATGGGAAAAAATGGGAAAAATGGGAAAAAAATGGGAAAAATGGCAACATTGGGGGAAAATGGGAGAAAAATTGGGGGGAAAAGGACATTTGGGGACATTTAGGGACACCTGGGACATGTGGGACATGCAGTGGCACTTGGGGACAACGATGGTATGGGGAAAATGGGCAAAAATGGGGAAATCTGGGGACACCAGAGATGATCTGGGACCCCTTCCAACTGTGAGGATGATGATGGTGGCAACCAAAAAAACCCCCAAAAAACGCCCAAAAAACGCCCAAACCGTCCCGCGGCGCCTGCCCCGCCAGTGTCCCCGGGTGTCCCCAAGTGCCACCAAGGGGTTGTGACACCCTGGGGACAATCTGGGCACTTTGAGAGCGCCTTCTCATGGTGAGGATGATGATGGTAGCAGCCAAAAATCCCCAAAAAGTCCCAAAAAAATCCAAAAACCCCCAAAAAACCCAAAAAACACCCAAACCGCCCCGCTCCACCACCCCCGCCGGTGTCCCCAAGGGTGTCACCAAGGGGTTGTGACACCCAGGGGACAATCTGAGCACCTTGAGGACACCTGGGGACCCCTTCTCATGGTGAGGATGATGATGGCAGCGACCAAAAAACCCCCCAAAACCCCAAAAACCCCAAAAAACCAAAAAAACCCAAAAAAACAAAAAAACCCCAAAAAACCGCCCAAACCGCCTGGCTCCACTTTCCTCTCCAGGTGTCCCCAAGGGTGTCACCAGGGGGTTGTGACACCCTGGGGACAATCTGGGCACTTTGAGAGCACCTGCTCATGGTGAGGATGATGATGATGATGGCAAAAAACCCCAAAAGCCACAAAAAAAACCCCAAAAACACCCAAACCACCTCCCCCACTGGTGTCCCCAAGTGCCACCAAGGGGTTGTGACACCCTGGGGACAATCTGGGCACTTTGAGAGCACCTGCTCATGGTGAGGATGATGATGATGATGGCAAAAAACCCCAAAAGCCACAAAAAAAACCCCAAAAACCGCCCAAACCGCCCCGCTCCGCCTCCCCGGCCGCTGTCCCCGGGTGTCCCCGGGCGTGTCCCCGCTGTCCCCAGGGCCACCCACCGAGAGGATCTGGTCGCCCTTGCGCAGCTCCCCGCTGAGGTCGGCCGGGCCGCCCGCCAGGATGAAGGAGATGAAGATCCCCTCGCCGTCCTCGCCGCCCACGATGTTGAAGCCCAGCCCGGTGGAGCCGCGCGGGATCACGATGCGCCGCGGCTCCCTGGGGACATTTGGGGACATCAGGGGACACCGGGGGACACGGGGGGATGGCAGGGGAATCCGGGACATTTGTGACAGCGGGGACATTTGGGGACACTGGGGACACCAAGGACAGGACACCAAGGGGGGGCAGCTCCAAGTCCAGGGGGGAGGAGAGGTTGGGGACATTGGGGACAGTTGGGGACATCAGGGGACATTTGGGACAGCAGGGGACATTGGGGTTGCTGAGGGAATTTAGGAGATTCAGGGATAAAGGGACACAAAGGGACATTTAGGGACACTGGGGACAAGGACAGGGAGGGGGTCCCACCACTGATGTCCCTCCCCAAATCCCCTGATGTCCCCAACCCCCCTCAATGTCCCCACATCCCCGATGTTCCCAATGTCCCCAATGTCCCCAACCCCTGGTGTCCCTGGTGTCCCCAACCTCCCTCAATGTCCCCAGTCCCCCCAGTGTCCCCACCCCCTCGGTGTCCCCAGTGTCCCCAATGTCCTCAATCCTCCCAATGTCTCCAGTGTCCCCAATGTCCCCAACCTCCCTCAATGTCCCCACCCCCTGGTGTGGCGCTCGCAGCCAGTGACATCAGGGGGCCCATAGGTGTCCCCAACCTCCCCAATGTCCCCAGTACCCCTGATGCCCCCAATGTCCCCACTGTCCCCAGTGTCCCCAATGTCCTCAGTGTCTCCAATCCCCTCAGTGTCCCTAGTGTCCCCAGTGTCCCCAATGTCCTCAGTGTCTCCAATCCCCTCAGTGTCCCTAGTGTCCCCAGTGTCCCCAATG